TGGTTGTTTGGGCAAAAAATAGTCTGAAAAAAGGAAAATTTAACACAAAAACTTGATCCAGTAAAAACTCAAAAATACTGAAAAAATTTTTATAAAATTTAAAAATAGGGGTAGAGGGCAGCGGGAAATTTGACATTTTTTTCTTTTTCCTATGTGAAAATTCGGGTTTGTATGGCAAAAAAATGCCTAAATTTAAAAGATTTCTGATTGTAATTTTTTTCAGTTTTTTTACCATAATTCCCTTTTTTTTTTTTCAAAAAGGTGTTTATTAAAACTTTAAAAATAAGTTTCGGGTATAAAACCCATCAAAATTACAATTTTAAACTCTGAAAAAAATTTCAGTTTCCCTCCTTAACTTAAAAATTTTTAGAAAAAAAATGTTGTCTTTTTAAAATTTTTTTATTTTTTTTAAAAAACTTTTTTTTTTCCTAATGTATTACTTCAAACTTCTATATATTTTTTTATTATCGTCAACTTTTGAAGGTTAAATACTCTGCAAGACTATTTCCAGTTTTAACCCTTAACTTAGATTTTTTTTGAAAAAATTGGGTATTTTTCTCAATTCTTCTTTCTTTAGGATTTATTTTAAAAAACCCACATGTAAAAAATTTTACAAGGTTGTTAAAAAAAATTTTTTCCTTACTAGGAAAAGAAATTAAACATTATTTGTAATATAGAAAACTTAGAACTAAAAAGATTTAAGTTCATTCATGTCTTTCCCATTCAGGGAAAAATTAAATTTACCCAAAGGGCCCATCAAAAATTTTGCGGGGGTTTTTAAACCCGGGTGGGGGACTTAGGGATTTTTGAAATACTATGAAAATTTTGCTTGTTTTGAAAAATAAAAAATGACTTCTATAAATGTGTTTTTTAAAATAAATCTTTCTTTTAAAAATGTTTTTTTAAAGGATCTAACGACCTTGACTCAAAAATTTAAATCAATTTTTTTTATAATAAAATTCAGTAAAATGAATTTATTTATATATTAAAAATAAAGTCCAAAGGTATGAAAACCTGAAAAACATGATAATTTGAAAATATAAATTTATTTAAATGCCAAACGGTAGGTTTATTATTGATCATAAAAATATTGGCATGTTTTAAAAATCAGATTTAAATTTTGTTTTTTCTTACTTCAAATTTTTTAAAACCTGTATATGATGTTAGCCCTTTTTTATTTTGAAACCCCCTTTTTTAATTAAACCTTGGGTGTATTTTTTTGATTTTACTTTATGTTATTTTGTTCCTTCCCAAAAAAAATTGCTAAAATTCAGTATTTGTTTGGCTTTTTTTTAGCAAAGCCCTTTAATTTTGGGAATTTTTTAAAAAAAAAACCTATGTGGGTTTTTGGGGGTGAAAAAATCGTAAAATTTTTTAATTTGTTTTTTTATAACAAAACTCTTCAGGGGGCAGGGGGGGGGAAAAGTATGTCTGTTTGGGTTTCCCAGGCTCACCCTGGGCGGAGTTTTTTACGTAAAAAGATCATTTTTAACTGGGGAAAATCGTAAGAATGCAGGAAAAAAATTTTGTTGCCTCCTATTTATATAGTTCTCATGATCTCAAAGTGGGTTGGCGACTTTATATCTTTCGGTAAGACCTTTGGGAAACTACGTTCAGCTTAAATTTATTGTTTATTTTATAAGTATATATTTGCTCGCCCGTATTTGGGAAATTTAGTTATAGACGCGTTAAATTCCCAAATTTTAAAATTTTCTACCCTTTAAAAAAGTTGTTGTACACAAGGGTTTTTTTTTGTCACCCAAAAGGTTTTATCTTTAACGGTTTTAAAAAACAAAAAAGATTTTTTTAGTAAATTTTAACTTGTTTTGGTAAAGGGAGAAAAAAATTTTAAAGATTCAAAAGAAAAAAATTTAAAGGGACTTAAGAAAAAAATTTTTATATGGTTAAAAAATGATTTGACAATTTTTCCCATAAATTTAAAATAAAAAAAGTAGAAGTTGAATCTTTGTATAAAATTTTTACAATTTATTTTTCCCTTTTTGCCCGAAATTAAAAGGAAATAAAAAATTATCAGCATATTTCAGGAAAAAAAATAAAAAATTTAAAATTTAAAATTCAAGGGTCATCCTACAATTGTAAAATTTTTTTAAAAAAATTTTTCAAGGGTTCCCGAAAATTTTTTTGGCTAATTTTTTGCTCGACTATTCGATAAGAAAAAGTAGAGCTTTGCAGTAACCCCAGGGCGGCGTCGGCGTAACCCCTTATGTTAAAATTTTTTTTATAAATTCAAAAAATTTTTTAAAGTCCTAGAAAATGGCTTTTAAATTTGACACTTGTTCACCTCATGACCCCAACCCCGTAGACAGGAGGGGGTAAATCTATAAGATTTTTTACAGAATTTTTGCCCCTTTTTTGACTTAGAAATTTACGTTAAAGTTTTTTTAAAAAGTTCAAAAAAATTTTTTTAAAATCCATTGACATAGGCTTTTTAACTTTAAAACCAATTTTTCACCAATGACCCCAACCCGTAAAAAGGGGGGAGGAACTCTATCAAGCATTTTTACAAATTTTGCCCCTTTTTTTTGAATTAGAATTTTTTTAAAATTTTGTAATGTTTTAAAAATTTTCAAAGTCCTTGACATATGGCTTTGAAACTTTGCAACACTTGTTCCCATCTGAAACCCCAAACCCAGAAAAAATAGGAGGGAACTCTAAACCAAGGATTTTGAAAAAGAATTATGCCCCTTTTTAAATTAGAATTTACTTTAAAATATTTGTTAAAAGTTCAAATATTTTCAAAATTTCCATTGAAAATAAAGGCCCTTTTTAAAATTTGCCCCAATTGTTCACCACATAAAAACCCCCCCCCGAAAAAGGAGGGAGGTAAATCTTTTCAAACTTTTTTTTAAACAAGCACAATAATTTGTCGAGCGTTTGTGTCCCACAACCCGCTTTGTTATACATAGTTTTAAAATTTTTAAAAGTTTTTTTTTTTTTTTTTTTAGGGGTTGTATGATAGAAATAAGGTTATGGGTTTTCTTTACTTCCTTTGGGGAACCCCCCAGCTCCCCTTGTACTTTTTAAAGCCAAAGGGAAGAATTTTCTTGTTACAAAATAAAATTTTATTGGGGAAAAAATTTCGAAAAGGAAAATTTTTCGTTTTAATTAAAATTTCCCAAATTTTAAATGTTAAGGGCACTTGCCATAATTTTTTTATTCAATTTCCCCCGCTTTAAAATAAATTGTTTGAAATTTTTAAGGGCTTTATTAAAAACTGAAAAAAACAAAAAACAAATTTTAACGCAAAGCAAGATTTTCTATAATGTTTTCAGTATAGGGGCAAAATTTTCTATTAATTATTTATTCTGTTTCAGTGACTTGTGAATGCCCAGCATGTTATGAATAAAATAGAAAAAGTAGGTTTTATTGGGGGAAATTCTCAGGAATAAAACTTTTGTGGTTTCCCCGTGGTAAACGCTGGGGGCGGGGTTTTAAGTACAAAATATTTGAAAACAGATGATATACTTATTTTTTTGGGGGTTTAAAAGTTTCCCCCTTGTGGAAAGAGGGGATGTTTTAGGGTTGATGCATTAGAACTGCAGCACCTTTTTCCCCTTTTTGTGATTGAAGGGGCGGCTAAAGGGTTTTTTTAAATTATTGGGGTCTATGCATTTTCTTTTAGCCCCAGCAGAAAAAAGTATTTTGCCCCTTGTTTTGTTTTAAAGTTTTTTTAAACATTGGGGTTTAAAAAACCATTTTTTTTTTTCTGTTTTTTTTTTGCCTTTATCCCTATCCCGTTTTGGGTTTTCGGTTTTAACAAAAGGGCAAAAACTTTTTTATTTTTTTTAATCAAAAATTTGAAAAACCCTAGAAAAATTTAATATGTTTTTAAACTTTACACATAGAACCCAATTTCTGTTTTTTCAATTTTGGGTTTTTTTAAGCCCTTAAATTATAAAAATTTTGTAGGAAGGTATCCCAGTTTAGTTTTTCCGTATATTTTAAAGGTTTCTTTATATACTGATTTTAAAAATTTTGTTTTTTTAATTTTATAAAATTTTCATTACAAATGTCTGAGGGAATCACACAAAAACCATTTTAAAAATTTTTTGTCAAAGGGAATTTCCTTGAAACCCAGTCTGTTAAAAAATTTTTTTGCTAAAAATTTCAATGGTTAAAAAAAGGCCCAAAAAAATTTTTTGTTTTTTTTTTGTTGTAAAATTAGTCATTTACAGTTTATATTATTGGTTTAAATTTAAAAACTTTTTTTAAGTTTTAACAGGGATCACAGTAACCCTTTTTTCCAAAAGTGCGTGGCCTTCTTTTTGAGATCTCAATTTTCTTTTTTTTTAAAGCAAAGGTAAAAAAAAATTTTTTTTATTGGTTCAACTTTAAAATAAAAAAAAAACAAAACTTTTTTATAAAGGGAGTAGAAAAAAATTTTTTATTTGGTGAGTGGTTAAATTGTTGACTTTTAAAATTTGCCCCCTCACGGCTAGGTTGGAATATAGAAAATTTTTGGTTTTATTTCTTTGTGGGGAAAAGCAAATCGCTCCTTATAAAATGTTTTTTGGTTCAATTCAGGTGCAATGGAGGGGCCCCAGTCCCCCCTCCCCCCAAAAAAAAAAAAAAAAAAAGAAATTGTAATGCTCGAGTTTTTTCTTAATCAAGTACTTCTTTTTTTTCTACATTCTAAAGAATAGTTTGAAGGGTATAGTTTATATACATGGCATAGGATATTTAATGAAAAACAAACTATTTCTGGACTAATTGCTACTTGACAGCAAGCTGTAGGTTGTATTCTATAGAGTGCTCTTAAACTCTTAAATGGTCATTTTTCTGCAGTAAGATATTATTTATGTTTGAGGTACATGATTGTCTATCTTTGGTTTAATTTCTAACTTTTTTAAATAATATCTGCCTTTCAGTATGTTGGTTTAATCTTAAATCATTTTTGTTTTAACTGCCAATATATTGAATAGTATACTAATTTCTTGCTGTCTCTATACTAATTGACAATAGGGTTCATTTTGTGTGATAAAGGTTTGTTTGAATTGCAGATTTTCAGTCCAGAAAATATGATGCAGCCAAATACAGTGAGATTGAAAGATTTCCAAAACTATTACCTGCATCATTTGAAAATACAGGTTTGTTTGTTTTGTTTAAAATTTCAATCACTGTAAAATGAAGTCATCAGAATATGTTATTTACTAGTATGATTAGCTGTTAACTCAAATAATGGTCTCCTACTCAACCTAGCATTTGGTGTAATAATTTGGTAAGATCAGGTGTGCAACTTTATACTTTATCATGCATTGAAGGTGATCTCATGAAACTTTCAAATGGTTTTTGGAACCATTATTGCATATCATTTTTTTGTAAAGGGAACTCTAGCATGGGTTTTAAGTGAGTTAAAAGTATACCCCTTTAAGGATTTTCAGCATGGCTGTTGTTTTACTATCAAGCATCAAGAATAGTGTCTTTTTGAGAGTATATGAGTTCATTTCAATTTCAATATAGAACAGCGTTCACCATGGATCTATGCTAAATCCTTTCTATAGAAGTTGCATTACTCATTTGTCAAGTCAGTATTGAATTAAGATATTACTATTAAGTATTTTATAAGGTAAAAAAATTAATATGAGCATACCTTTATAACTAGCGTGAATGAATGTAGTGGCAAGAATGACTTGCTGTTACTGTCGGTATATAGTCAGGTAAGCCTATAAAACAGATGCTTCAGTATAAGTCATACATGCCATAATGTCCTGGACTGTCCCGGAAGTCAGGTCACTGTCCCGGAGGCGTCCCAGAGATCAATAAACGTCTATTGGAAAATTCAAAGTAAGGCTAAGTTGCTAATTAAGCTAGGTGATAAATAAGATGTACGGGTACGTTAAAAGTCTGTTATTTGTATGATTACAGGATGTTCCTATATCAGACGAGGAGATGGATTATATGATGGATTTAAGACCTTATATTACACCCAATCCATACACTATAGGACCTGTAAGTAAAATCATTTCCTAGCATAGTTGTGTAAAAACTTGTTAAGTTTTGTTTCTCTGTATAGCTGATAATAATAGATAGTTTTAATTTTTTCTCAGTTCATGTTTACATGATTGTCATTATCTATGCTTGATGTATTCGTTTTATGTAGATTGTAATGAAAACTGTCAGTTGATTTTAACCACTTATTTTTTATCTTTTTTTACGGTAATGTCTTCAAGATGGTAATGCTCATAATAGTTTACAAGTTCAGGTTTTATAAGTGTGTTGTTTTGAATGCCTATAGCACCAACTATAACTGACGTGTATTTTTGTGTCGCCTCTACGGAGTAGTGGCGACATATAGGGATCACTTCTCTGTCGTTTGTCTGTCAGTCTGTCTGTCTGTCCGTCCGTCTGTCCGTCCGTCACAAAACTTGTCCGGACGTCGTCTGTCTGTCTGTCCGTCTGTCTGTCTGTCCGTCCGTCCGTCACAAAACTTGTCCGGACTACTCCTCATAAACTACTGGTGCAATTTCATCCAAACTTTACAGGAATGATCAGTACCAAGTCTAGTTGTGCATTTTGTCAGCATTTTCCGGTTCAATGATTTTTGTCAGAGTTATGGCCCTTTAATAATTTTTAATTTTAAAGTTTGTCCGGACTACTTCTCTTATACCACTAATGCAATTTCAATGAAACTTTACAGGATTGATCTGTAGCTCAAGTCCTTGCGCATATTGCACGGGTTTCCGGTTGAATGATTTTTGGCGGAGTTATGGCTCTTTGTTCATCCAAACTTTACAAGAATGATCAGTACCAAGTCTAGTTGTGCATATTGTCAGCATTTTCCGGTTCAATGATTTTTGTCAGAGTTATGGTCCTTTAATAATTTTTTTTTTAAAGTTTGTCCGGACTATTTCTCTTATACCACTGATGCAATTTCAATGAAACTTTACAGGATTGATCTGTAGCTCAAGTCCTTGCGCATATTGCACGGGTTTTTTGGTTGAATGATTTTTGGCCGAGTTATGGCCCTTTGATAAAAAGGTGTTTTTTTCTGTGTGTTGCCAGATACGCAAAAGCTTGTCCGGACTACTCCTAATAAACTACTGGTGCAATTTTATCCAAACTTTACAGGAATGATCAGTACCAAGTCTAGTTGTGCACTGTCCATCTGTCTGTCCGTCTGTCACAAAATTTGTCCCAACATGAAATTGGCCATCATGAGGCGAAACATGTGATTACTGATCGCTCTTGTTATTTTTTCAGACATTTTCGCTACCAAGATTATTCCGTTTATTTCGAGGTCTGGGTCTTAGGCATTTGATAGTGGTTAATGATTGCAATGAGGTAAGCTTTTTTGTCTCTGCATACTTATTCTATTTTTCTTGTGCAAATTTAAGTTCTCAATGAAGGCGTCCGTGGCCGAGTGGTTAAGGTTATAACTTAAACCACTTGCCCCCTCAAACCACTGTGGGTTCAAATCCCTACAGGGACTTTGGATTCTTTCATGTGAGGAAGCTATCCAGCTAGCTTATGGAACATTGGTGGTTATCTACAAAGGTGCCTGTTCGTGCCTGAATTATTGCAACAGAAAAGTGCCTTCTTTCTCCACCAGTAAAGCTGGAACAGTTGCCATATGACCTATACTGTGTTGATGTGAAGTAAAACCCAATCAAACAACAAACAGTTTTCCATGAAGAGGAGTGCTAGTAATATGATTGACCATTTTTTTGATTCAAAATGATTATACATACATTCTTTTATGCATTGGATGATAAATATTTTACCCTATAAATGCTTGAGGGAAATGGCTGTTTAAAGTTAAATATAGTTTTGACTTGGTCTGTAATTATGCCCCGCTTCCAAAGAAGAGGGGATATATTGGCTTTGCATTTGACTGTCGATCGGTCTGTTTGTAGACCAAATGGTTAAATAACTAAAGAACGCTTAGGCCTAGGAACTTTAAACTTGGTATGATGATTGTTCATTGACCAGGAGATGGCCACTATAGATTTTTGGGTCAAGGGGTCAAAGGTAAAGGTCATATTGACCTTGTAAGTAAAATTGGTTTCCGATCAATAACTAAAGATTGATTAGGCCTAGGAACTTCAAAACTTGGTATGACGATTGTTTATGACCAGTGGATGACCCTATTGATTTTGGGGTTTCAAGGGGTAAAACGTCAAAGGTCACATTGAACTTGTAGGTAAAACTGTTTCTGATTAATAACTTGACAACCACTGGACTGTTTGGCCCTAAAACTTAGTAGGTGCATAGGACTTGGCCCGTAGATGACCTCTTCTTGATTTTGGGGTCAAAGGTCAAGGTCATATTGACCTTGTAGTTAAAAATGGTTTCCGATCAGTAAACTTTGTCCTTTGCCTTTGGCCCTCAAACTTCGTAGGTGCATTGGTGTTGGCAAGTAGATGACCCCTTTTGATTTTGGGGTCAATGTGTCAAAGATCAAGGTCACATTGACCTTGTATGTCAAAACGATTTCCCTATCAATAACTTGACAACCCATGGACCCTTACCTTCAACTTTACAGATGCATTGTTTTTGGTCAGATTGATGACCTCTATCGATTTTTGGGGTCAAGGGATTAGAGGTCAAGATCACATTGACCTAATAGGTAAAAACTCTTTCTGATCAATATCCCCAACAACACAGGGGCCCTTTACCTTTAAAACTTCACAGGTGCATTGGTTCTTGGCCAAGTACATAACCCCTATTGTTTTTAAGGGTCAAAGTCAATGTCATATTGGACCTTGTAATAAAGTGGTTTCTAACCAATAACTCAAAAAACTCAAGTTGCCTTGGTTGATATTTTTTATTAATCTTAAACTGCTTTGGTGAATACACATTTCAAGGTCTTATTTAACATAATCAAATTTTGGCTGTCATTAATGAGGCATACATGATTAATAAAATTTATGCATATATTATTTGGTATGGTTTATGATAACTTTATCATAAAATTGCTGCACACAACCTTTACGGTCACAATTACCTAGTGACTAGTCATGACCAGTGATAATCCCTATTGATTTTTTGGTAACTAGGTCAAAAGTCAGTCATAATAACCTGATCACATGACTAATTTGCTGTTGATATAGGGCATGCATGTTTTACAAACATATCTTTTTGTTTTAATGCCTGCTAAATACCTTATTTCTCTCACTTTATTGATTGTGTTTTCAAACATTTTCAAACTTTGTGTGACTATTTATTTCAGCCAGTTGGGATTATTACAAGGAAAGATCTTGCAAAATACAGAAGTGGAATCAAAACGTGGGCTGGTGAAAGTATAAGAAAAGTTTAATATTTGAAGACAAAAACACTGAATTTATTGAGAAAGAAATCCTTCACTAATTTTATGATTTGGCACCTTAGAGTTATACTTTAACTTGTATTCAGGGGAATATAGAAATCAACCTTAGGTTATCCTGCCAAACAAAATCATTGACCAATTGTAAAATATGGCAAACCTCTATTTTGATTACAAATTATGACTATTTTAATGATAGTTAAATTAAAGACTTCATAAATGGATGCTTACACCTTCAGTAGCTAGGTATAGGGTATAAGTTAGTTTTTAAAAAAGTTTATTAAGGAAGCTTCTCTAATGCTGTAAGTTTCAGTAATGCTCAATAAGTGAGCCTAATTGCTGTGGTATCCAGGGTTTTTTTTGGAAAATTTTAACAAATGGGGAGATTTTTATCGCAGAAAATTTATAATATTTCTTTTTATATATGATTGTTTTTTAGTTTTTCTGATATAACAAGATTTAAACTTATCATGATTAACACTTGTTGTTTAGCATGGTTACATGATGTTCTTTTTGTACAAGTATTTGTGAATTTGTCATGAATTGATTAGGTAATTATTCTTTTTAAAAAATAATTTTCTTTTTGTAACATTTAAAATTGCATGGAAAGTTTAAATAACAATGACATGTTTATGAATCTCTCAAAATTTGTTCATCTGGATTGAAATTTCCTAGAAATCAGTTTTAGTGTTGAAATTGTAAAATAAATTTCTTATCAACCGCACCAAGCCTCTTTTAGCATTATTTCATGTTAAATGAAACATAGTTTATGATTCTTGTTAGTGAATTGAAATTTATTTAAAATGGTTGATATTTTTTTATAAAGGGTTTTGTTAAATTTTAAAATGAAAAGATATGTCTGTTATTTACCTATTCCCATTTCTTTGTTGAAATAACCTTTAACATATTAAACATAAAAATACCATGTACAGAAACCTGGGGCCGGTTATTCAATAAAAGAATTTAAGTGAAAATTTTCCCCTTAACTCGAAGTTTTTCCCTTAAAATCATACAATTTTCCGCTTAGTTTAAGGAAAAAATCTTAAGTCTTATTCATAAAATTCTTAAGGTCAAAATTCCTTTAAATTTGTCCGAATTTCTCCTTAACTTTTAAAAAGATACCTCCCTATGGCCTCCTTAACTTTTAAGGGATTTTTTTTAAGGGAAAATTTATAGGAAAAAAATGGGTCCAACGCGTTAGCTCTAACCAATATTTGTGTCTGAAAGTCCTTTTATTGTTCTTAAAAGGGGTAGGGACAGAGATTGTTCAAACACAAATATTTTATGACCTAGTACACTGCTGCCGTTTTTTTTTACCCTCGTAATATAGGGTCCGTGAATTTACCGTACCACGTACGAAAACCGACTTTTTAGTCATGAATTTTACCTTGACATTCTTCACTCAAATAGCAATGTTAAAATTTTAAATGTAAGACGGCGAAATAAAAACATTTAAGTTTTAATTTAAAATAAGGATATTTAAGGATGATGTGAGATTTAACCAGACCGATAAATAATTTTATATGTAACAGTGGCTGAAGGTGAACGGATATTCCCAAATATGAAAGTTGCATTTTTTCGGGATGTTCAGTATCCGGAAATATGTTAATTATGTGACGAATAAAGTGTGACATATAGAATAAGTGGGGTTTGCTATATACTTATAAAAACGATTGTAAAAATAATTTGAATTTTCAAAGCAGTGAAAAGGACACTTGATGGTTTTTGGAAAAGGAGGTGTAGAATATATCTGGGTTTGTGTATATTTATATAAAATTATAATCCCTAATGCTTCCACATGTACTATAAGAAATTATATAGACTAATACTGACTAAAAGTGTCAAGTCTAGGTTTCCAGATGGACCCACAAAATGAAACCCTAAGTTTGAATTTGAAATTCATTGAAAGGATTGTAAATTGAAACCCAAAAAGTATAGCAATTTAATGTCAGATTTTCGAGGTACCATTACAAACATTTGAAATTGTTTAAAAGTCAAAACAACTTAAATTTTTTAAAATTTTCAGTTAAATATTAAACAAGGGGAATTAATTTTTAACTTTAAACAAAGCTTGTGGGAAATGAATTTTATGAAGAGAAGTAATTAATAATGGAATATTCTTCAACATGTTGATGCTAAGAATAATGTAACAGAAATTGTGTCAAGCATTTTGTGGAAATTTTGTCTAATGAACTGGAAGAAACCCTTTAACTAGATCTCTGCAAGAAAGGAAAAGCAAAAAAATAGGCAAATTAAACATTTGAAGGCTGTAGAAATCTACATGTATGTGCCAAACAATTTCTAGCGGAAGCAGAGCTTAAATATGTATCTTACAGGTAACAATAATTCTGTTACCATAATTTAATGTTTTTATCTTTAAATGAATCATTTTATTTACATTTTCAATATCATGTGAACAGTTAACTGTGTACTTATGGCATTTGAAAATTTCATAATAGAATATAGTGATTTGATGCTGTATTTGGTGGTCGTAAAACTCATTTCAAATTTATTTCTAGCATAGGTAATAATAATATGCATGTGGAATTTTTTTAATACCTTGCCACAGATAAACTTGGGCCACAGATAAACTTTCTTTTTGAAGGATTTATGAACAAGAAATTCCAAAAAGAAAAAACTCAGTGCTGCTTATTGGTCATTATACTTTTATCAAATCCTAAATTTACATTTCAGGTGAGAAGGTATTGTGTATTGCCAAACTTCCCATATTTCATCTATTGCAGTGCTTAAATGTTAATTCCGGTTAGTATAAATTGATAAGCAATTTGGATTGTAATGTTTTATATGTTTATTCATGAAGAAAATAGAAAATGAGCCGCGTCACGACAAAACCAACATAGTGCGTTTGCGACCAACATGGATCCAGACCAGCCTGCGCATCCGTGCAGTCCTGATCAGGATCCATGCTGTTCGCTATCAGTTTTCCCTATTTGTAATAGGGTTGGTAAGCGAACAGCATGGATCCTGATCAGACTGCACAGATGCGCAGGCTGGTCTGGATCCATGCTGGTCGCAAACGCACTAAAAAAAAAAAAAAAAAAAAAAAAAAAAATTTTTAAAAAAAAAACCAAAAAAAAAATGTTGGTTTTGTCGTGATGCGGCTCAAATGTACTTTCTTACATATCACATATATACACACTATCATAATAAACAAGTAATACATAGAACTTACATGTATTTGACTATATTCTTTTACAAATTATGCAAGAAAAATTAAACAATAAATAAATTGAAGTGTACATGTGTAACACTAACAGTAAAAGTATTGTACATGTGTAACAGTAAAAACTATTCTACTTAAATATTAAGATTTTTAACAAGTATTAACTGATGTGAGCTATAAACCTTATAACATATCCTACATGTAGTTATTGGTTAAGTAAAGATATTTCTTCTTTGCTTAATATTGTCAAATTAACATTTAACTAATTAAGATGACATATAAGTTGACCAACTATTTGATAAAAACCCAAAACTATTAAATACTAGTTTAATTAACAAGTTATTTTTTCACATATAAATTTTAGTTTCATATGAAAGTTGGCTGCTTCAGGCATAATTTGTTTTAAACCTTGCCAATACCAGAACTTTCAACAGTAATTTAAAATAAAAAAAATTATACATGTAATTGATTTAGATTTTCCTGAATTTCAGGTTTGACAGAGGATGCCATATTCATTTTGCTGCTTCAAGACAAAGAAGATGCACCAGAACATTCATTTGAACAGTTATAAAATCATGGATCATGTTATGACTAATCACTAACATCTTATGTTATACATAATGTCAAAGTTAAATATATTTGGTGAAGCTTGACAATAATATATATATATTATATAAATCATCAATATAAATGAAGTGACAATTTATCTGGATATACGACATTGATTATTTAATTATTTGTCTGTAACAATATAAAAGATTTAGTAATGTTTTATATAATAAAAAAGTAAGCCTGAGCATGTTTTCTTAAATTTTATAATTTCATTTTAGTAATGCACTTTCATATAGTTAAGAAATAACATATCCCAAACAGTGATTTTATCAACTGACATCAACAAATTAATGCTGCTGTACCTGATATTAGCTAAATTGCTTCTGATTTGTTTCCATATTTATCTTCAATGCATCACATTTTTAGTGGTTACATCTGACACTTTGTTTTTTCATTAACAAAGGAATGGTACTGAATGTGGCATGAAGAAATTTTGGGCATTTTATGTTACACTCCCTAGCTTCTGTCTGTTCTTCCATTAGCAAATTTGTTTAAGTATAACTTAAGTTCCATTTGGCCCATGATCAACAAATTTCATATAATGATTGCTAATATTAAGTGGAAAACGCTTTTTGATTAATGGGTTGACAGGGTCAAAGGTCAAGGTAACTTTTACCTTAAAACTGAAAATGGTTTCCTCTAAATAACTTTAGTATTGATCAACCTTTTGCTGTAAAATTTCATAAGATGACCAGTCATATTCAATACATGACCCCATTAAATTTTTGGGGTAACATCATCATTAACTAGAAATGTGCCGTCATGCCATGGATGCCCCCTCATGCAGCCAAAATTTCAGATGTTCTTAAATCTAATATTTAAATGTAGTTCCAAATTTGTTTGCACAAATTATTTTTTTCATTTTAAGTTCAAAGCCCTTAAAACTATTCAATGTTTACACAAACCATTTTTATACAAAGTTCAAGGCACTGAAACTATTCAGTGATAACCTTTTGTAAATTGCATATTGCATATTCAATGTAGCCAAAATAATGACTACATACATTCCACAAAAGTACGAGTGCTGAACTAAAAATTCATAATTTTTCCAACATTCAAGAAAGATAACTTTGTTCAAAATCATTAAACTACAAAAAAATTGGAACTTGAACTGCTTATTCCTAAGATGTATCTACATGTCAAATTTGAGTTGAATGTGTACTACCATTAAGGAGATAATGAATGGAAACTTAAAATT